TCCTAAGCAGGACTTGTGCAACTTTTCATACTGAGGACCAGCCCCCCCAAGAAAACAACCAAGAAACACACACACACACACACACGCCTCAAATCCCGAAGGCTAAGACGGATTTTGTTTTTGGGGATTTCTGGTTTAGGGTCGTCTAGGGCCTAAATTTCCTCAGTTGACTTGCCCTAAACCCTTAACCCTAAACCCCCTCACTTGACTTGAAACCCTGAGGTAGCCCAGTCGCACTACTTTTCCTGCTGCCTTTGCTCGCCCCATGGCTGGGGATTTGTGAGTTGCATAAGACAGGATTTCCGTCTAGGGTTTATGGTCTAGGGTTTAGTTTAGGGTTTAGGGTTTAGTTTAGGGTTTGGGTTTTTTGGGGTTTACCTGCATCCTCTCAAACATTCCTTATTAAGGACCAAGACAAGGAAATCATAATCGGGAACCCTTAGATGCTAGGTTCTCGAGGGTCCAGGTAGGGTTTTGAGTTCAGTTCTAGAAATGCAATGTATGAGTTGCATACACCAGGGGAGGCCCCAGATGACGTGAAACAGAGATAAAGGGAGCCCTGATTTTCAGGGGGGTTTGGTTTCATCCTTAGACCCTTTAAGCCCCTAATACCCAAAAGCCCTAAACCCCAAACCCACAACCCTGAAGCCCTGTAAGCCCTATAGAGCCCTAGTAATGCTTCAGGGTTTGGGCGTTTGGAGATCTGAGGCCTCCGGTATTCTTTTGGTTTAGGGTTTGAGATTTAGAACTGGTAGCATGAATCCGACACCCTGAAGCAAAAAAACCTATCTAGGTAGGCCGTTGGGACATCCTATATTTTCTTGTCAGGGGTTAAGAGGATTTTGTTTAGGACTATCTTTTCAGAGGCTTAAAGGGCCAACCTGGCGTTATAACTCCTTGACCACAAACTCCTAAACTCCTAAGCGCTAAACCCTGAAGCCCTAAACCCTAAAGCGTAGCAGACCCTTGGCACACAGCTAGACTGGGAAGCCCTCACTTTGAACAAGCAGCAGCCAAGCATCAAAGGGGACCCTTCTTTCTGCGGTTTCGGGCGACTCTTGAAGTTGTTTGTTTATGGCAGGGTTCCTTTGTTCAACAAATCGGTTCTCCTGCCTTCAAAGAGGTGATTTCTGTGTGGTTCCTGAATACTGAGAGCCTCATCATAAGGAAAGAATATTCCTAAAATCCCTATAGGGGACGCATAGCTGAGGGATGTGTGTGTGTGTGTGGGTGTGTCTGTCTTCAGTAGCAATAAGAAGCCGTCCAAACGTTCCATCCAGGTTCTACTTGAGTCCTGAGCGGCCACATGAAGCTGTTTCCTTAGCAGCTGAGCAGAGTTCCTGTTCTTGTGGTGTATACATATTGGTGTTTAGGGTTGTGGGTTTATGACGCTTTGTTTCCTGGATATACAAAAGCAGAGGCCAAAACCCGTTGTTAACCTAATATCGAAGCCTGAATAATTACGAATATTATTTCTTAGGGCTCATTGTTATTATGGTTATAGTATAATAATATACCCCAACAACCTACATTAGTTTGGCTCAGAGAGGCTCAACATTTGTTTGTTTCACCCTCCTGGGCGTGGCATTGCAACTGAAGAGCTCGCAGGTTTTTGATTCCAAGCGATTCCTGATGAGGTGTCAAGTCGGGTTTAGGGTGTGCATATATGCAGGTTGGAATTTCTTGTCGATTTAGGGTTTAGGGTTTAGGGACAGACTCTTGACCTAAATTCGGTTTAGGGTGTATCGTAATTAGGGTCCAGCTTAGAAGACCCTCAACCCTTAAGTCGGTTTTTACGGTTTGGTGTAAATTCAGATCTCAGCCAAAACCCTTAACCCAAATGGCTAGTTGTCAAAATTATGGTCCCTTTTGGGGTACCCTAAATACTAGGTGCCGTATTATAAGAAGGACCCAAAGAGGGACCATAATTTTGACAACCACCCAAATATAATCGCAGCTTCCTGCCCAAAGGCTACGAGTTAGCATTCTTTTGCAATGCCGCGTGCCGTTTCGGAGCCGGTCCTGAATTGGGACTTACTTGAAATGGGCATCTGAGTCACATCCTACATCTCTAGGGTTTAGGGTTTAGAGTTTAGGGTTTAGGGTTTGGGAGCATATGCCGAAGTCCAGTGCAGAGACCGACTCCACAAAAAGGGCCCAACTTGGGACTCATCGTTGACCTGTATTTCCTCGTCCCGCTCGTAGCTCTTCCACAAGTGGAGCGTGCTGCTTTGCTGGGAATTTTCCTTGCCTTTGTGCAAACCTTCTCTATCTAATTGTACAGAGCCTATGACTGCCCCGGAATCAGCAATATCCCGCGTATCGATCTAGACCCTCAGCCCAAACATGCAAGAACCGCAAGAAAATGAGTCTACCCATCCCCACACTGCCACGAAATCGTACGAGTGCGAGCTGAAAATGGGTTCCCATCCCACGGCCTTAATATAGGGGCCTTAAGAATTACCTACAGTATTTTTTTTGGGGGGGGGTTCCGTATAACAATTATAGTATAGTACGGTATACCCCAAAACCCCATTCTAACTATTAAGGCCTCTGCATTAAGCCCCACCAGGTTGCGAAGACTGGGGCTTCGAGAACCCAAGCCCATCCTCAACCCCACTCTAGCCGACTCACACCCCAAAGCATATGGGAGGTGTCGGAATATTTAGGGTACCTTATTTTGGGACCCTTGTTCTAAGGATCCTACTATTTAGGGTACTATATTAGGGTCCCCTACTTTCGGAAACCCCCGTATGTCCTCAAAGCCGAAGATGCCCGCATGAGTTCACAGCCGCCCTAAATCGTTGCCACTTTTTCAAAGTATAAACTTGTAAACCCTAAGCCCTACCTATAGTCTCCATTGTAGTTCCTTGTTGTGGCTTAACCAGTTCTATATTAAGGATTCTATAAAGGTAGCCCCAAACAGGAACTACAATGGAGACTATAGGTAACCCTTATCTGAGTTCATGGAGCTTGGCAGATTCAGGATCCATGGGCCCAATGGTTTAGGGTTTAGGGTTTAGGGTTTAGGGTTTAGTCGCTCTTTTGCTTCGGGCCTGGGGTTCCTTGGGGTTCCTTGGGCTTCCAGGGATTGCGGATGTACGGGCTTCAGCTTGCGGTTTAGGGCTTACCTGGACCCTTAAGAACCTTCTTTTTTAGGGTTCTTTATTATGATTTCTTTAAATGAGTCCTTAACAAGAAAGGTAGGGTTCTTTGGGGTCCAGGTAGGGTTGAGGGTTCTGAATGCGGGTTAGATGTTTGAAGTTTAGCTTGCAGCGCCGCAGATCGTTTAGGGCTCCTTTGGGGGTACTAGACAGCTGAGGGTGTAAAGTTTGGAAACCACCCAACATCGTTGTCGATCCGCTGCCATTGTCGGTTCTGCAAAGTTACGATCCTCGGCTTTGATGCCTAGAGTCTCAGTTGCGCCCGGATGCAAACCAGGAGTTACAATGTAGCTGGGGACGTTCAATTCAACATGGAGCCTAGGTAACCTATACCTAAACCCTAAACCCTAACCCCCCAAGAAAAAAAAAACAAAACCTGAAAGTGAGCAAGGAACTGGGTTAGCTCTGCTTTAGCCTAGCTTGCTATCAGACGCGGCCTGGACCCCGGAGCGGTCGTTGAACGGCTGAGAGCGCTACCGAGCTGCGTGTTCACGGCTTCCTTGAGTTTTGCAGTGTTCTCAGTGGTTTCTGAGCGCCAAGCCCTCAACCGTGAAGCCCTAAATCCCAAACCAAAGACCCTAAAATTCCAAAGCCACAGTCCCGAAAACATATCCTAAACCCTTGAACTCCTAAAGGACCCTGATAGATCCTCATAACCCCTCAAAGGACCCTAAGCCGAAGAACCTGATGGCTGTCTTGGTGCTTTCAGATTGTCAACACCTGAGAGGTGCTCCTACCCTACCCTGTTACACCCTGAAGCCCCATTAGCTTCACAGGGTGTAGACCCTTAATCTATATACCCTGTGCCTGAAACCACTAACCCCAAACACCTAGCCCTATACCCTAATCCTATAATTCCTCGGCCCTATTAAGCTCTTGACCCTACCATGTCTAACACTTGCTACGGAAGCCTTCCCGGTCGTTCAGGATTCAGTGCTTCTTTAGGGTTTGGGGGCGGGGCTTAGGGCTTAGGGTTCAGGGTTTGGGGCTGATTGGGATCCTTGATATTCTTACACTCCCACATGGCTATGGCGGCTATGGCTTAGGCTTCGGTTTAGAGTTTAGAGCTTGGTTCATGCCTTGTAAGGTGTGTGTGTGTGTGTGTGTACGCAGTACATATATAAATATATATATATATATACATACATATATATATATATATGTATATATATAACTTATATAACCATAAACTTTTATCAATATACGTACACGCACTGTACACAGCTCTGTGTGTGTGTGTGTATCAGAACCTTCGTCCAAAACTCTCAACTCCCTTGCAGACTTTTCCGTTCCGGTGATGAGGCCATGAGCAAGGAGGAGATAACGGTGAAGAAGATGCGCGGATCCTACCATAAAGGGCTGTGGCTGGGGTATATCGCACGCTGAGCACTGGCACTCTTACGGCTGGACATGCGTATTCGATCGAACAGATTCTCGAAGCCATGGGAACAGTAATTAGGGTCCGGGGTTTAGGGAAGAAAGTATGTCGCCTTAATCTTACACTCCATCCGCGAGAATCAGTGATTCTACTGTAGCAAAGGTCCAAGGAGGATGCGGAGAAGGAGTACAAGATCTCCAAGTGGGGACAATGGGGATGCCAGGGACCACAGAGGGAGGGTCAGGGGAAAGGGGGTGTGAAGAGCGCTTTGGCTTTTAACTTCTATTTCGAGCCTTTCATCAAGAGCATTGAGCTGGGGTGTAGCCGGATGGCTGAAGCCATGAGTCCCACTGTATTCTGCACTTACTAGGCTACGGTGCTCCGCAGGTCTATGGGCACAAGTCTAGCCCTCATCTTCTGTGTGTTGAATCAGGCGTGTTGAGGAGTCACACTGGGCCATGACTGTTTCGGAAGACGGCAGGGTGGAGATCTCGCCGGTGGGGCCGGAGGCGGCAAACGTTCAAAGAAGACTCAACGAAGCCAAGGCAAGGAACGATCCAGAGTTGCAAAGCTGCTTGGAGTTCTTGCTGAATGAGCTGGCCACGATGAGCCCGGACAATTTGAAATCCTTGGAGAATTTTGCGCTCAAGCAGAAGCAGTGCCAGGAGAGGCTGAAGTTCAATGGCGCAGTAGGACTGGTGGGTGGTGACCCCTGTGACCTGCGGGACCGTTCGCAAAAGCTGATGGATGAGCATTTCGACAACCTGAGCACCGCTGATCTTAAGGAGGAAGTTACGATGTGCTTGAAGGCAGCTTTGGGGCAGAACTTCCTTGACGAAAATCAGCTCCCGTCGACTGATACTGTTGACACGTTCCTTGACGCTGCAGGGTTCTTTGACAAGATCGAAAATGGAGGCCTGTACTTTCTGTACTACGCTGGCCATGGTTTCGAAGTCAACGGCGAGTTCTATTTTGTTCCGGGAAAGCCGAAAACCATCCAGAGTTGTGTGAAATTGAGCGATGTTCTCGAACAGTTCAAGCGGTTCTACGGTTGCACCTTCGTCATTTGTATCAACGCCTGCCGCAGTGGTCTCGTGGGTGATTTCAAAGACTCGCTTTGCAACACGTTCGTGAACAAGCCTGGCAGTTGTGTGTCTTTCAACAACTATGTTCTCATGTTTCCCACAGCTTCCGGCGTGCCAGCTGTTGAAGCTGATAACTCAGATACAGGCAATGCCCGGACTTTTGCAGAAATCGTACGAGAGCTGCTTCCTACGTTGACGACCAAAGACCCCGCAGCGCTGCTGGTAGCTCTGAACGGCTTTGCCCAGAGGTTCAAGGAGGAAGAGCAGGACAACCCTGCCTTGTATTTCTACCCCTCAGCTCATGGTAAGCCACCTACCACTGGCTACACAGAGTTGTGGGGTTTGTGGTATCAAGTCGAGAAGGACATTCAACAGACTGTGCCTTACGGGACAGTCCAAATTCCCGACCACCGCAAGGACCACCGCCGTCGTGTGAATCGCATGACTGCTGGTTTGGCGGTGGAGCTTCCACGCCCGGGTAGAAAGCCGCCGGTGTGCATCATCCTCGGCCATACCCGAGGTTTGGGCTACAAGGATTACGTCGCTCGGTTCATCACATCTGGCATGAGTGCCAACTACCTAATCACGACTGAGGGGCAGCCGTACATGCTGGTGGCAGAAGAGCTCATGGCATGGGACTACAACTTGGCATATTGGGGTGGGTCGGGCTTCGATATGGGCGAAGGCTTCTTGGAAAGCAGAGGTAGACTCAACGAGTTGAAAACATATTCGATCTCCATTGCGATGGAGCTGGGGCACCAAAAGGAATCACGGAGGCCCAGTACCAGGCCCTAACTCAGTTGCTGCTTGGCATCAGCTGCCGGTGGAAGCTAGAGCCGTGGAACATTTTGGGAGCGGACGAGGAGGGGGGCTACATGTTTAAACACAGGTTTCTAACGTGAATCTACCGTACATGACCGTTGGATGGGTGCAGCAAGAAATCTTGCAACATGTAACCTCAGTTCTCGGGCTTCTGGGATTCCCCAGACCCTAAAACCCTAAACCCCGAACCCTAGCGTTCTAAGCTCCAAGCCTTAAGCCCGAAGAAAGCCGTTCATGCGAGCCATGTGGGGCAAGACCCTGACGATTCCGAGCCTGGGCCGGGCAAGCAATTCAGCTGGAGGCCCTTGTTATCATGAAAAAAAGGGTTTAGGGTTTAGGGTTTAACGGTAGTGATACTTAGTAGCAGAGAGTAGGTGACTTTGACCTTTTGGGGGCATCAGAATCCCTATGTGGTTCCAAATGTTAGCCTTTGGTTCCAATAGGATACCGGACAAGTAGGTCTTGATCTCTAAGCAAACAGCACGAATTAATCTCCACAGAAATGATTCATAGTAAGAACAATAGCAACAATAGCCAGAAGAATGATGATAATATTCATAGTGGAAGAATGTCCCTTGAACTGGAGGCCCTTGATGGACGAGGGCTTCTCCTTGAAAGTGAGCCCTTCACTGGAAAGAGAGTCTGGGGGATCGGAAGCAAACAAGCTGCATTGGGAGCTGCAGAAAAAGCTGGAAGAATGGGGCTATGCTTTCGGACCTGAGGAAACTGGTGCGAAACGGGTGTTTTTGGAGAAGCGCCGCATTGCATTCAGCCATCGGTATGGCATCCAGGATCAGGATGCACTGCTAGTGGATGCCGTAGACGCCTTGCTGCAGCAGCGCAGCAGCCGTCGTGAAGTCGGCTGCTCAATTGGTTGAAGCTGCTGCGAGCCCATCTGTTGCATCTCTAAGCCCAAAAGCCCTAAAACCCCAAAACATCCTAAAGTTCTGAATCTAAACTTCTCTTGGCTGAAATGCTGGATGCTTGCCGGGAGCGAGTGACCAGTCATTTCTGCATGTTTATGAGGGTATTCTGCACATCAGTAAAGTCAGAGAGTCAGCACCGTAATCATGGCCATGACCATCGTCAGTGTATTTTTTCGATAAAGGCAGCACATAACGGGTTTCCGTCGTTGAGAGGGCGACCTGCTCTATTCTGTGGTGTTGTCAATGCTGGCTTGAGGCAGCATTCGGCATTTCATGGGAAAAAAGCTTTGCCGCCGGGGGCACGTGAGAATGCAGAACGCGATGACAATCTTGACACGAACAATGGCAATAACAAGCGTTTGGGTGTTGTCCTTGAAGTTCGAGGATCAAAATAGGTGTCATCACGACAAGGGGATTGGTGAGCATTCTGATAGTGATGGCATGGTGCTGGCAATCTGGTGTTTACCGAATGTTGAGAATGGCGATGGCACTGATGCTGGTCGTAAGGATGGTCGTGATGCACCGATGGTGGCGACAGAATGGAGATGTCAGTGGCAATACCGTGTGGCAACAATAATGCTAATCAGACGAGCAATTCTAGCTAGTTGGACCGACAGCCATCATGGTGGTGGAGATGACAGCAAGTCCCAGGAGACATTATCGTAAGAGGACAGCCAGCCAATGCATCGAAGGTACAACGGTGATGATGACAATCGACATCATAGCCTACGTAGCACATTCTGTTATTGGTTATTGGTACATCTGCGAATGCTGTTATGACGAACTGTTCTATGTTGAACATGTTTGTTCTCATGTATCTGCATGGTTAAAGCATGACATGATCTGACCCTGATGATGGAAACCGTGCATGTGCTTGAAGATGATGAAGTCTGCGCGTGCTGACAGCCATCATGAGCATGGGCAGGCTTTGAAGACTTAACGACAGCAGAGCCAAGTACTACATAGAGGCATTCTGCACACATATAATCTACAACATGCATGCACCATACAACCCCGAGCCCTAAACCCTAAACCCGCACCTGAATCTCCCACCCTGGTAGAGCCTTCGCATTTCAGGCCCGAGGCCGTACTCCCGCGAGACCTTCAGAACACATATGACTCGAATGAAGGCTCTGGAGACCCTAAACCCAGAACTAGAAGCCCTAAACCCCAAACTCTACGAGCTCTACGACTCTAAGCCCTAGCCGCAAACACCATGACCACTGAGCCCTGAGCCCTAAACCCTAAGCCCTCAACCCGGATCCTGATTTGGGGATTAGGATGAAGGTTGAGGGCCTATGGAGTTTAGGAGTGAGGATTTAGGGTTCCGGGATTAGGATGAAGGTTTAGGGCCTATAGAGTTTAGGAGTGAGGATTTAGGGTGTCAGGTTCAGGATGTAGGGTTCAGGGATGTTGAGGGCTTGGGTACCGAGGCGATATCTCCAAGTTCGATTGGACGCCGTTTGCTCAGAAGAGTGGAATGGTTTAGGGTTTGGGGCTTATAGGGTTTAGGGCTGAGGGTTTGGGGCTTATAGGGTTTTGGGTTGAAGGTTTGGGGCTTGTGGGGTTTAGGCTTGCTTTGTAAGGGTTCGAAATGGGCTTTGGGAGAAGGACATGCGCGATCACTTCGGGCGCAGGCGCGCGCTGTCGGCTTTGCGATACAGTTGCATGTGGCGAGTTGCTTCGGGCTAAAGAAATGAGGTGTGTTGAATATGCTTCATTCTTTCGGAAGTTTCATGGGCAATTATAATATTACCCAGCAGCTGGCCAAGACTGCTGCGAGCTGTTTCGAATGCGCCACGCCTAATTGTGAACAACGCTACTTACTTACCGATATCCGCAAGCGTGAGAAAGCCATCAAGTGAGCTGAGGCAGAGGGCTCGAGATTCAAGCTCTCTATTATGTGTCTTTGAGCTTGCACTTTCGCTGCATCACCCCCAACCGAAGCACGCTATCAAAATGACAATGGTAAGAACGCCAACGACTGATGATACTTCCTTCAACGATCTAGCGATATATAGGCCAACAAACAGGATGCTAGAAACATCGCGAAGAAGGTTGATGGTTGTTTACAAGCCCTAACCCTTAAGAAGCAGCCGAAAGCAAATCGACGGTGGAGGGTGGCAGACTCTTGGACCCGCAGCGGGACTTCGGGTTCAGGTTTATGGTTGCGCATTCTTAACTAAGCAGTAAACCGTATATAGGCCATATATGGAAGTCAGTACGTAGGAGTATGCATGGTAGCTTTCGAGGTCGGATGCAGTAACTGTCGAGTAGCGGACTGGCTAGATGCAAGCTAACAAAGTACAGTAAGTCACGAAGTGCTCTAACCGCAAACAAGCGGGCCAAGCGGCGGATCCAGCTGCTGTGGTTGTAGTGGGAGTAGGAAAGTTCATTACAACAGCAATCATCACGACATCAAAAGGACCGGTCGCCCAGCCTTGCGATTCAGGCTCTGCCCCGAGCACCAGCAATTTTGGAACCGAAACTCTATATTACGGGGTTGGAGTTTAATTTTTAGGGTTCGGAGCCTCTCTTTAAGACCTGAGCTGTCTGCCCCAGGCCTCCCACCCCGTATATCCTTCAAACCCCAAACCCGGCCCTCACCTCCCAAAGCCTTCCGCTCCCGACACCTACGCAAGGTACTCCGGAAAGGAAATTGCCTACATCTTGGAGGGCGAGGTGCCCTGTGCTGAAAGCTTCGCGAAGCAAGCCCGTACTCAGAGCACTGGCGGACTAAGAAGGGGCATAGTGCGGGCCTTCGCGTCACACTGCATAACTATTTCCTTGACCTGCGTCCCGCAATCGACTAAACCCTAAACTAAGGCCCTAACAGTAAACCGCTAAGCCTAAACCCTTAAACCCCGAACTCCCAAAACTGTCTCACGGCCCAGGTGCTCGTGACGCCCACAGGACGGGCTCGGGTTATTTTGATTTCAAGGCGTCCGACTGGGGTCAGACCGGTTTAGGGTTTAGGGTTTATAGGGTTTAGGGAGGGATTAGGTGGAGAGTCAGAGGATTAAGGTGTGGGCGGGGGTAAGGTGAGCCCAGATTCTGGGGATGTGGATGACGGAGTGAGGGGCCGGATAAAGCCACAACCCACCCTACATCCCCAAAAGCTTCAACTGCGAAGCCCGACATCCGAAATCCCAAAATACCGGCAACCCTGATATGAACGGCTGACGAATCAGCATTACTGCTCCTCAGGGTTCCGTAATGACTGAATATGTATGCAAACATACATACCTACCCAAATACATACCTACCAAAATACATACCTACCAAAATACATACTTGCATACATGCATTCATACATGCCTTCATGCATACATACGTAGACGCACACACATACATACATACGTACTTACATACGTACATACATGTATAGCCACTCACACATACAGACATACAGTCCTACAGACGTACAGACATACAAACATAATTACAGACATACATACATACATACATACATACATACATAGACACACACACACAGACATACAGACATACAGACATACAGACATACAGACATACAGGCATACAGGCATACAGACATACATACTTACAGTCATACATACATACATACATACATACATACATACATATTCATATGCATNNCTACGTACATACATATATACATGCATTTGTATATACACTTCTACTTATAGGTATCCGTATACTTTCGCTTATACATATACGCTTATTGCTATGCTTATACTTATACTTGTGATTGTACTTCTACTTGGACTTGCACTTGGAGTTGAACTTGTACTTTTTCTAGACTAGACTAGACTAGACTAG